TCGAGTTTAAAATTTATATAACTCAAATCAAGTCGAGTTGAAAAATTTTATAAAATAAATTTGACTCGACTCGACTCGACTCGAAAAAAACGAGTTGAATTGAGTTGATCCTTAAACTCAACTCAACTCGACTCATTCAGAACTCTATTAAATACAATTACACTTACTTTAAAACTATTTAACATCTCTTGATTACAAGGTTGCAAATGCATAAAGAAATTCAATAGTGATATTTGTAAGATGTATAGTTTCATATAAGGCGTGTGTTGGTACATTATCAATTAAAAGAAAAATATTTTGTGCTTGTCTTCTTATTTAGAAATCAAATTTCTTAAGATATTCATTCTGTATGGATACTTGTATCCAACTTTTAGGGTTCTCATAATAATCAACTGAAAGGGATTTTTTTATTAATATTTTTAAGAGCCTGTGGATTTTTATATTTGTGAATAAAGGTTGCAATTTTTCACATCTGATTGCATTGTATGTAAATAATACTGTTATATAATCTTTTGGCTGTTTTCTACTTAAAATTGAATCATTAGTTATCATATGACTTAGTTGTATCTTTCAAAATAGACCTATCTCATCACAATTAAAAATATTTTTAGTCATAATTTTTTAGAACTTGATGTAATCTTTTACGCATACTTTCAAGATCTTAAATTAGTGCATTTGCCACTTTTTCATGAATATTATATTACTTTAAATTGTAACATTTTTAAAATTATCTACCCATTCATATAATCTCTTAAACTTATCTTTATTACACAGATAAGTAAACTTTAATACCTTATTTAAAAGAATACTATCATTAATAACAAGACTGGCTTAAATAGCACTTTTTACTTAAAGAATCAATGCTTTTTCAATAATTGAAAAAGGTATCTTTTTTTCACGTCACAAACTAGCTTGATATGAATTAAGGTCTATAGCAAGCCAGTGATCTTTTACTTTTAAGATATCAAAAATTATTTCTTTACTAATATCATATTTCTTGGCTAACTTTTTTTGTTTTGAAGAAGTTACTATTTTTTTTAGAAAAATTTTTTATGTAACAGTAAGAGACTTTCATTTTTAAGAACTTTATTTTATTTTTGCAAGATATTATTTAATTGTCTATTAGGGTTTACTTTTGGTATTTTCATATAATAAAATACAATAAAACAAAGAAGATAAAGAAATAAATTATAAATTGAACACAAACGTTTATCTATTATTATTAAAAATTATATTGTAATTTTATTAAAAAATCTATTATAATATGAAAGATTATTATATATGAAAAGAAATTTCATATAAAGTGAATGATAAATTATCATTTATAATAATAATTAATATCACAACAATCTTCATTTTATTCAAAAAAATTCAGTATAGAAGAATTTTGTTTATAAAAGGTATCATTTTATATATGCATGCTTATAAATTATTCTTTATACTATGGTAAGCTGTATTTAGTTAGTAAAATTCGATGTAACAATTTTTTTATATGATAAAATCTGTATCAGGTTGAAGGTTTATTATATTATGAAATTCGTAATATTAAAATTCATTATAAAAAGAGCTGACTGTATATTATTATTTTATTTAATATATTTACAAATTATTTATAATATTTCTCAATTTCTTATAGGAATTAATTTCAATTTTATTACCTATATATTATGCTATATTAGCTCTTTCATATCATCATTTTCAATTATCAGATATCTTTATTTTATTTTTGAACTTTAAAATAACATTTGAAATATGAAATTACTAATAGCATAATACAATATATATTTGCTAATTTAATTCATTATAAATTTAACAAGTATTATTTAATTATTAATAATATTACTAAAATTGCAACAATATTAGATTCTCATATGAATCATATTATTTTGGGAGATCAAAAAGAAAGGTTGTTTATGTAAAAGTAAGTATTGACTATTATATCTAATTATCTATGATTTACCAGACAATAAAAGTGATAAATGTAACTTTAACGAATCTATTATTCAGATGAAAAAACTAATTATTACTACTGAAGAAGCTGAGAAAGGATGTAGTAATGATAATCAAATTGAAGCCATAAATCAGAAAGAGCTGTATAATAATAACGAAGCTGTAAATCAGAAAGAGTTGTGTAATAATAACGATAAGACTGAAGATGAGTCAGATTTTTTCTCAAATACAAATAACAAAAAAAAAACTTGATAAGTTTGATAACTTTAATCATGTTGTTAACGGAGCAATTGACCAGTCATAATGAAGTCACGTAGATGATGCAGTATAATGATCTCTTAATTCAGAATTCTGAAATACTGAGAATTCTGCAAATTCTGAAAATACGGAGGATCTACGTAATTCTAAAGATCTTCCAAATACTGATGATAATCCTAATTTTATAAATTAAATGAAGTCTAAGAATATTTAGTGTTATACTTAT